TGGAGCATATAAAAGCATGTAAAATTCCTGCATAAGGCCCTGAATACCACTTCTACTCCCAAAGAAATTTAAAGTTTAATTTGAAAGACTATATATGTATGTATAAATATATGGATGTGAGTGTGTATATATAAGATATATGAAAATATATGAGTATATGTATGTATGTACATATATACACAGACAAACACATATATGTGTGTGTGTCTGTGTGTGTATGTATATGTATGTATATGATGATCTGGGCATGGCAGCATATGCATATAGTTGCAGTTGCCCAAGAGGCTAAGGCTGATGGAGCTTTTGACCTCAGGAGTTCTGAGCCATGGCAAACCAAGTGCAATGTGTGTTTGCACTGTTAGACATTGATATGGTGAATTATGGGGCCCACCACATTGCCTAAGGGAGGAGCAAACCAGCTTAGGTCAGGGTGTAGGCTCCCATTCTGATTGGTGGTGGAATCGGGCCTGTGAATAGCCCTAATATTTCCTGCGTGGGCCAGCTAGGGAGACCCCGTCTTAAATAATAACAACAGTACAATAAGAATACAAAACCAATGCTAATTCTAACTAATTCAGGCTTTCCAAATACTTTCCCATCCATTATCTCATTGAAACCTTATGGCTACAGCATCAAAGAGGCAGATGGAGATTATTCACCTCCTCCTTCCCATTCCCTCCCACCAGTATGGGATAACAGAAGTTTGAGGAAGAAACTGATTTAACTGGGATCACACAGTTAACAAATACTGAGGCTCGAACTCTGTCCTAAATCTCCTGATGAGTCAAAAAGGCCATATGTGCTATGAGTGCGATATGAATGAAGAGTGAGTAGAATGGGCACAAGCACCAGAGGGGTCCTGTCTCCCCTTCTAGATTTCTGTTTTACCTTCTTACCTCTGGGAGCATTTCTTACTGTCTTCCCTGCCTCTTCACAATTCATAAACGTGCACTCTTCTCCCCATAGCTTCCCACTAGACCTTCCTGCTTGTCTACTTCTCTGGAAAGATATTGTCCCTCAATCCTGTGTTCCCGTATTTATGTAATGTCCTCATCCTCTCAAGATGGGAAGCCAAGACTGTTGCTATTGGTAACACAGCTTCTAGCAGGCATCCTCTTCTGTACAAGTGGGCCATGAATATCAGTAATAGGGGACTAGTAGTTAATGGTCCAGAAACCAGCACCTGGGAGAGGTTTTCCACAGTCTCTCATGCTATTCTGGTACCAAAAAAATGGAGGTATATGGGTTAGATGGAAAGAAAATTGATGGATTCAGAAATGGCTGAATGGATAGAATAACAAAAATAGTCATTGTTAGCAGTTCACTGTCAAGGCAACAAAATACTAAGTGCTCAATATGTGTCAAAAAGTAGGAATACAATTACAAACAAACATGAAGACACCCCCTCTCTTCAAGGGGTTTACATTTTAATGGGGGAAGACAACACAGGAAAAGATGCTGAAAAGGGGAGGAGAGGTATCACATGGGGACATGGTGAAGAAAGAAGTCAAGAGAGGCAGGAGTATAACCAAGAAAGGAAAAGCCTAGCTGGCTTGGGAACTTTCCAGTCAGAAGAAGGAACGAAATGGGCAGAAGGGTCTTCCAGGGTGAGAAGGCTACTGGGGAGGAGTGATCTTCTAGGGTGAGAAAGCTGCTAGATCATGATAGAGAAAGAAGTGTAGAGAAGCAAGTGTGGAGCCCAGAGAGGAATGAAGCAATGAATGTCAACTTGGACATCACTATCAACTGGGAATGCTGTCTCTAATGAAGGGTCCCAGTGACTTGTGCCTGGTTTTGTGCTGTTTGGTGTTTTGATCAATGACTTGGATAAAACTGTAGACTGTACACTTTTTCATTTCATAGATGACACAAAGCTGAGAGGAACAATTAACACCCAAGATGAGAATCAGGAATCAAAAAGATCTTCACAGGTTAAAACACTGGGTCAAATCTAGTGAGATGAAATTTTAGTGTGTTGGCATGGGAGGACAATCAAGATGGTAAAAGGTCTAAAGATCATTGTATATGAGGATCTGTCCAAGATCTGGGAATATTTAGCTTAAAAACGAGAAGGTTTAGTAAAAGGAGGATGGTTAGCTGTTTTCAAGCTGAAGAAGAGGCATTATCAGACTTATCTACTTGGCCCACAAGGGAGAAAGAGGATCACAGTTTTAGAGCTGGAAGTGAGCTTGGAGGTGACCTAGCCCAACCCCACCATTTTGTAGATGAGGAAACTGAAACCCAGTGAGTTTTTGTGATTTGCCCAAAGTAATGCAAATAGTAAGTATCAAAGGCAGGATTTGAACCCAGGTCCTCTGGCTCTAAAACAAGTGCTATTTCATCTCACCGTATTTAGGAATATAATAGGCACAAGTTTCAATGAGGTGGATTTAAGATTCACCTAAGGAAACACTTAACAACTTAAACTATTCACAAAAATGGAATAGGTTGGGAGGTAGTGAGTCTCCCTAAATGAAGGTCTTCAAGCAGAGGGTAGAGAACTATTTTCATGGTACAGAGGATTCTTTTTCACTTATGGGTTGTACCAGATGTCTTATGAGGTCCTTCTCAGCTCTGAAATTAAGTGACATTTTCAAATTTACTCTTTGAGGTGCAACATTTATACCTTTATCCTATATCTATATCTGTATTTCTGTCTCTGTATCCATGTCTAAAATTGTCTCTATCTATATCTATTTCTGTCTCTTTCTAACCCTATACCTATGCCTGCCTATAATATATTATATTATATTATAATAATAATAGATATAATCCTATATCTATGCCTATAGGGATATCTCTATCCCTGTTATCTATATGCATATGTGTGTATGCAGTAAATGCAACCATCTATTCAGTCATCAAACTATAATTCAAACTGAAGTTTGAACTGAAGACATGAGTGGCCAAGAGTAAATAATGTGTTTGAATTTCACAGATATCTTAAATTTCATGCACTTTACCACAAAATCCTGGACTTAAGTAATGCTTTTCTATTTTGGCGGTTTTTTGATCCCCATTTTAAAGATATGAGAACTGGGACTAGTAGAGGGTGAATTCATAGAATCACTCAGAATTTCAGAGTTGCAAGGGACTTTGGAAGCCACCCGGTTCAGCCCATACCTAAATAGGAACCCCCTCTACAACATACCTGCCAAGTGGTCTGATGGCAATTGGCAAGATCATATGAGTATTATAGAGCCATATGAGAGTCAGACTCAAGGTTTTTCAGGTTTTAAGCATGCTACACTAGTTTAGATTAACATGATTGTCGCTTTTAAAAAAATTCAGCTGAATTTTGTGTTCAGTTCTGAATTCTCTTTCTGTCATTCCTCTTCTCCCCCCACCAAGCAAGAAAAACAAAACTGGTTACAAATATGTATAGTCAAGCTAAATGAATTCCCACATTAGCCATATCCAGCTCTCTCTCTCTCTCTCTTTTTCTCTCTCTCCCTTTCAATTTGCATAATGAGTCTATCATCTCTCTCTATCTGGAAGTATTTAGCATAATATGATTCTCCTTGACAGAAAAAGTATAAACAGAACCCTAATCTATGAATTTACTGTTCTTCACTGGTCTAGAAATAAGCCAGATCTCTGCAACATCTGTATTTATAGTATTTATTGATGTTGGACTAGATTAAGTAAACAGGCAGAAATCACCTTCCCTCATGCCTTAGGAGAAGCTGGAGTATTCTTTATTTTAAAGCATTGTGGCATCCTGTGGATTCAGAAGGGGAAAAAATGGATCAAAAAAGATTTCAAGAGAGTAGCTCAACTGCCATCACTAAGGCTTTCATTAATACCACCACAGGGTTTTCCTCTGAACTGTTGATAAACAAAACTTACTTCCAAAGTACAAAGTGGGTAATAGGAAAAAAAAAATGAACATGCCTGTGTAGTACGTTCAATACCTCAACAGCCGGCAATGGATCTGCCCCTTTTATAGACTATATGAATACGTGGTTTGTCTCAGAGGTAGGGGGAGGGTTCCATCTGCCCTGTCAGACTCTCACACCCTGCTTAGATCCATACCCCTCAGCACTTTGCCATTGGAGAGAACTCAGTTCGCCTCAGTGAAAGAGGGCAATTCGTTATCAACTGGGTAAATATAAGATAACTCATATTTTTGTAGAGCTTTACCTGATGTGTAGATAATAATAAATAGTGTTAAGTATTATGAATCCCATTTTACAGATGAGGAAACTGAATCAGAGAGAAAAATGACTCACCCACAATCATATAGCATTTAAGTAGAAGATTGAGGCAGGTAGATGGTGCAGTGGAGAGAACTTGGTGCCTGCAGTCAGGAAGATCTGGGTTTAGATATGACTTCAGACACTTCCTAGATGTGTGATCCTGAGCAAGTCACTTAATCTCTGTTTACTTCAATTTTCTCATCTGCAAAATGGGCATTGGTACCTACCCCCCAGTGTTGCTGTGAAGATCAAATGAGATCATTGTAAAGCTCTCAGCACATAGTAGGTGCTAATATAAATGTTAGCTATTATCATTAGCTATTAAGATTGTTACTTGGGTTCAAGTATCCTGGCCTCCAATTCAAAGCTCTTCTGTTATTCCTGTGTAGACTAGTGGATCAAGTTCAGAGAAAGCCTCATGGGGAAGGGACAGACTGAGGTGAGCTTTTACAAGAAGAGGTACTTGACTGCACCAAAGATGGGAGGATGAGTTTGGACTGGGAAGTAATAAGGAGGGGCTCAAGGAAGAGCTTCTTGGGGGAGGCGATTTGAGCTGGGCCTCAAAAGTTCGAGTCTTGACCAGAAGAAACGGGGATATGGGACATTCTAGGGACAGCTAGGTGGTTCACGGGATAGATCACCAGGCCTGGAGTCAGGAAGATGACATCTCATCTGAGACACTCAGTAGCTGTATGACCCTGGGCAAGTCATTTAAACCTGTTTGCCTCAATTTTTTCGTCTGTAAAATGAGCTGGAGAAGGAAAATGACAAACCACTCCTATATCTTTGCCAGGAAAACCCCAAATGGGGTCATGGAGAATGAGACACGACTGAAAAATGACTCAACAACAAAAGGCAGAAGAAATCATGTCAGCAAAGGATAGAGGACGAATCAGAGACTGGTGAGTAGTTTGATTTGTCTCAAGCACAGAATAGTGGGAGATAGGATTGGAAAGATTGTTTGGAGTTATATTATGAAGGGCCTTAAATGCTAGTATAAGGAGTTGGAATTTGACTTGATTGACAAGGAGTCATTGCAGGGTTTGGAGCAGAGGAGTGATATGGCCAGATCTGTACTTAATGATAGCTATTCTGGCAACATGTAAGGGATAGTTTGGAGTAGAGAGAGAGCAAAGGTGAGATAACCTGTTTGGAAGATGCTTCCACAATCTGCATGGGCGGCAATTACGGCCTCTATTCTAGTGGGGGCTGTAAGGATGTAAAGGCAGAGCAAATGTGAGAGATGGTGCAGGGAGAGTGTTGGAATCGGCTCAATTTCTGTGTCTCCTTAATTAGTTTCACAGATGTACTTGGTGCTTCTCTGGGGAGTGATTCCCTGTGGTTCTAATCAATGTGTCATAATCACCCAACGTTGACAGGCTGGGAGCCTCAAGGGCCAATCTTATGACTCACAGAAAATTGGATTTTATCTTTGTGGATTTACATAGTCCACACCCATCTCGTCCCAGAAAAATCTGAGAGACTGTGACCAGAAAGGGGGTTTCCTGTGGCCTAGGTAGGGTAGCTTTCTACTTGATTGTAAGCTCCACGAAGGCGGGGACCATGGTTGATTAAAACTCTCTATCTCTCCATCTCTGAACATAGAGATCTGCAAATACTGCTTGTTAAATGAATGCCTTGGAACACAAACATTTCCTGGTGAATCAGAAAGACCTGGCTTCTAGCTTCCCGCTATCCCTTGCCACTTATTAGTTTTGCAACCTTGGATCAGATCTTTCACTTTTCTCAGACTCAATTTCCTCATCCATAAAAATGAGGTCTCTTCGCAGAAGACAAAAAGCCAATTTTGTCATAGAACTATAAGGTTTGCTGGAACTATCTCACATTCTATTGCAGATTAGATAACAAACCTGGTTCAACTATTTCTGTCCTGTTTAGGCTGAACATACAAGCCCCTGATATATATAGCACTGTTTAATTGTGCATGACTTCATACATGTTGCTCTTAACGTGCATCTAGGCACTTTCCAAACCAACTTTCCTACAGAATAGATTGCATATCACTGGTCTGTTAAAATGCTACAGAATGCTGCTGATTGGCTGTGTCCCCTAAGCAGGCCTAAAGAAACCCTTTATAAGCCAAATCTGTACCGTTAGGAAGGTGAAGCTGCTGCCAATTCACTCATTCAGTCATTCAGCAAACACATATTAAACACCTTCTGTTGCAGTAGATGCTAGGGAGAATCAAGGTTTAGGTGTCTTTGAACAGAAGATTCAGTCCATCACGGACTGTGGGCTTGAAGTCTTTCCAGCTTGGTAGCAGCTTCCTGGCTTGACTTTCTGCCAGAGTGGTGTCCGAGACACCAGGGTCACTTCTCTGCCATGATCAGGTATGACCTTGTGCAAGTGAGATTTTTGTTGTTGTTTAATTGTTTCAATTATGTCTGATTCTTCCTGACCCCATTTGAAGTTTTCTTGGCAAAGACACTGGAGTGGTTTTCCATTTCCTTCTCTAGCTCATTTTCCAGATTGGAAAAAAAAAAAAATAGAGGCAAACAGCATTAAATGACTTGCCCAGGGACACACGGCTAGTAAGTGTCTGCAGCTAGATTTGAACTCATGAAGATGAGTCTTTTTGATTGGAGGCTTGGCACTCTATCCCGTATACCACCTAGCTGCCTGCAAGTGAGATTACAATTATTAATATTGTTGGGGCCAGCTTTGAAGGAGGAAAGGTCACGAAAGGGCAGCTGTAGGAATGTATGTGGAAGGAACAGAAGGCAGTCTGAGTCTTATACCTTCACCTTCACCTTCTCATCCCAAATCTGGTGCTCCTTATAACATTCTCTCAGCCAGGTCACTGCCTTCCTTTGAAACAGGGTGATAATATCATGGTTTTTAGAGCTGGAAAGGACCTCAAGAACTGTCTGATTCAACCCACAGCCTATAAGCAGAAAAGATATTGTCCCTTCCATTTCACAGATCAGACAGCCAGTGCCCATGGTGGTTCAGAGTGTTGTCTGTGCTCCCGGGTTCTTGATTCCTAGAGCAGCGCTCAGTTCCAAACCTTGCTCACTCCACAAACACCAGGCAATCAAAGTTGTTTAGGACCGGGAGGTCAGTCAATCAATAATCATTTAATAAGTATCTGTTATGTTCCAGGCTGTGCTAGGCGCTGGGGATACAATTCTTACTCTCAAGGAACTTACATTCTAATAAGGGGATAAGACATGTGCATATGAGGGAGTGGAGGACAGGGAGTGTGACCTAGATAGGGATAGTTGTAATGATTGTCGTGCTCTTTCTGGTAGCCGTGGCAATATTGATCGTACTATTATTCCAAGAGCCAGAGATGGAAAGGTATAGGGGTGTGTGTGGTGGGGAGGGGGTTCTGGGGCATGTGTGGGCCAAGGAAGGGCAGATAGCAAGATTTCCTGGGCTGGATAGCAGTATGTCCTGGTGTGTGATTGGGTGGGATGAGAGACATGGTCTAACTCTAAAATCTCCTAGAGACAGTGGGTAACATGGAAAAAAAAAACCTTCCTGAGATGAAAATCCAATGGCTTTCTGATTTTTAGAGTTGAAAGAATAAGGGCAAATTGGTGTTCAGCCTCACCCATTTGGAAAACGTCAATTATGACAGCAACACCAAATGATTCTCCCAGCTCTGTGTGAAGTGGGGAGAGCAAGGCTACTTCTTCTCTTCAGGCTGACTTGCTCCAGCCCACAAGGAGGCTGGTGGTCAATAAAGAAGAATGAGCAGGATAAACATCTAAATTTAGCTTTTGTCAAGCAGAATGAATAGTAGGATAAGTTGGTTTGCTGGCAAGAATGGACTGGAAGATGGGGAATGATCAAGAAATCTCTCTTTCATACTCGATGACCCCCCAAAGTCCATTCCAACTCTGAAATTCTCTAATTCTGCTATCTTACAGGACTGTCCAGCTCTGGCATCCTATATCTTATGTTCTTTGGTCTTCTTCCCTCTAAGATCCATTCCAACTCTGACATTCCATATTCTAAGGCCCCCTCCAGATCTGCCATAATATCATTCTAGTCACTAGGGTCAAGAATCATAGAATCTCAGAGTTTGAAGAGATTTTATAGGGCATCCAATCTAAATTCCTATCCAGTGGAGGATTTTTTTTTTAGAGAACCAGGTCACGTGGTGATCTGGCCTTTTGTTTGGGCATTCTAGTGACAGCTTATGACCACATTTGGAAACCTACTCCGTTGTTGGACAAGATTGATTATAAGTCAGTTCTCCTAAATTTTTGACTTAAAATAAGCCTCAGTAATTTCTTCCCCTTGGTCCTGCTTCTGTGTCTGGAGCCAAGCAGAACTCTGCTGTTCCTTCTTCTGAACTCCTAAAACACTGACAATCTCTATCACACATATCTTATGTTTTCTAATTCTTTGAGGTCTAAGATTCTTATTTTCCAAACAATATTGAAAATGTCTGAAAGTCAAAGATGGTATCATCTCCTTTCTCTGTATGCCTCATAGCATAGAAGATAGGTTTGTCCCTGGGACAAATTAGGTGCTCAATAAAGGCTTATTAAGATCAAGGCTTTAGAGCTGGAAGAACCTGTAGAAATCATCTCATCAGAGACAGGATCACAAATATAGGACTGGATAGGATATAGAACATACATAAAGGACTTTAGAGGTCTCTGGTCCAGCTCTTTCATGTTAGAGGTATAAAAATCGAGCCCCAAAGAGGTGATGTAATTTTTCTCAAGTTTAAAAAGGGAGTAAATAGCAAAACTTGGATTTTAACTCAGGTCTTCTGATCTCAAATATAGTGTTCTTTCTACTACACCTCAATGAAAGGGAAAAAAATTCCACTGTAAGGATTTTAGTATTAGTGAGTAATTTTGTCTCCTTAAAGTAGCACAAAGTAAAGGGGCACTTGGTTGTAAAAGAGGAAAAAAAAGCAATCCACAGTTTTCTCCAGGGATTCATATGGAATCTGTCAGCTTAAGGGATTGGTTATGACAAACCGGAATTGGAAAACATCTACAGGAATGACAGTGATGTTAAACAGATGTGAAAGGGAAAGATTGACAGCCTGGCTGAGGCCTTAGGGAATGTGAAGGATCTCCCTGCTTTCCCAAGATGAGAGTCTGTCTAGGTTTGGAGCCCTGGATTGGGTGTCAGATGAACTAGGTCAGAACTGTGGTTCTACTCTTTACTTACTATCTGTGTGACCTTGGTCACCTTTCTTTCCTGCCCCTTTCCTGATCAGTAAAATGAAGCTTGATGATTCCCTCCAACTCTAGGTTCTATGATCCTATGTCCACATGGGCATTATGAAAATATTTTTGTCAGTCAAAGTCTTGCCAGAGAACTGTATGTAGAGGTGGACCCTGAGGACTGGACAAGACAGGTCCCACTCACCGTTATTGCATGTAGTGGGGTGTATGAGTGTCTGGGAAGACTCGTATCTCTGGTGTGAGGGTTTGCTGAGCCCTTTTTAGGACTGCTCATCCACCTTGGGTGTCCACTTGATCCACCCAACTCTCTCCTATGACTCCAAGAAGCTTTAACATGTGTAGTAGTTAAACTCTGGTAAACTGTTTTGGCAGACAGGCTAAACTAGGTTGAGGGTAGCTGTAGGGCCTCAAACCCATTGGCGAGTTAAAGGGGGGGGGGTGTCTACCCCAAGCATGAGAAGACTTCCTCTAGTGGCATGTGCATATGTGAACAATTTATTACAATGGGCCATCGAGGCAGCAGAAGCAGGTACTGCGGAGTACTTAGTGCTTGGTTAGATATCTAAGATGCCAAGGTCATCCATTACATCCCAAGCCATTGCCAGTTGTCTTGACTTTTGTCTTGCCACTAGACTTTGATGACTCTGGAAGACAGAGTGAGGCCAGTGACTTTGTGCAAGTCTGACTCACTTAAATTCAATTTGCGCGTGAGTCAAAAAACGTAA